TGAAAGGCCCTGTGCTTCCCTTTTTTTTTGACAAAGTGTTTGTCTGACCTAGTTGACGGTAAATACATCATTCACTATAAAAATACAAAGACTTACTTGCATACATTGCACCACCACCCTTTTTCAATATCAAACTTATCGGGCCCAGTCTTGAACCTCACAACAACCTTGTCTGACATGACTGTCAGCAGGTCAAGTGTCAAATCCTTCTTCACTGGTCTTTCTTTGAGTTCTGGTCCTTGTTGATGGTTGTTGAGACCATCCTAGATGGATGTAAGTTTCTGTGCATTGTAGTATGTGTATAACACTTACATCATGGTCCTCATCTTGTTCCTGTACACTAGGGCAATCATCCACTTCCTCGTCTTCCTCCTCGGAAGGTTCAATGTCATGCTCTATGGTCTCCACATCCTCCTCCAACTCTGACTCAACCCATTTTGCCACTCCTCTTCTTCTTGGCTTTGGTTTCAGAGTTGTCAGAAGCAGAACTCTTCTTTTCATCTTCCTCACTCGCCTCATCTTCACTAGCTTCTCTTTTATGGCTCTTCTTGGGTTTTGGCTTGGGCTTGAGTATCCTATTGTCCCTTGTGATGCATGGCTTACCCTTGGTCTTTGGCTCATGGAGTCTTGGGGGTACTCCTTTGGTGACTGTTCAGGTAATAATAGCCATGGTAGATGTGTTCAATTTTGCCTTTGCAACACAACAAATGACATGACATGCAGCAATGTTTGGCAACACATTTTTGGTGGAGTTGCTACTTCTCTTTTAGTCAGACGAAAATACAATCCGTAACCTCTTGCATGAACGTAGCATTTGCTGTTTCTGAACATGAAAATCAGAGCTCTTAATTTGAGGTAGAAAGACCAGTTAAGACCAGTTAAACCAGTCTTTTGTTGGTCCTCCAATGTTAGAAATTACAAGAGACTGCAGACTGGTCTGCAGTTACGGTCTAGATCGGTCCTAATATTTGCAGTCTCTAATCAGTTAAGGTCTGGTTAAGTTATGGTTTTTTTTCAGTCTTGTAACTGGACCTTCAAACACTAACTATAATCTATGTCCAGTCATTTTCAAACACCCAAACTGCTAAAATGCACCAGAAACCTGACAGAACAAGATTGGGCTGTAGGTTCTAGCTGATGCACCTGCCTTGTTGTGGGGTGCTGGCATACCCCCTAATTTTTGGACCATGGCCTTCAGCTTCTATGATATACCTGAAAATTAAATCACCCATATCCTTACTGTTCTTAGAATACATTTACAGATCAAGCACAAGCCTGCTGAGCCTAGGTATAGTGGCCCAATTTGACCTATGTTTTGTTGATGCAATGAGAGGGCCTTAGAAAAATATTTGAGGCTGGTTCAGAGCCAAGCCAACTAAGAGATTCATGTAGTCACACAACAGTCAGGTGCACATTGTACTCTTGAACCAACACCCATGACCATGTCATTTCCATTTTATCATAATATATTCTTGATAAATATTAATAAAATATATAAAATTCTACAATTGACACACATTATATATTGTTTAGTGAACCATGATAAGAAAAATGCTAGGAAACATATAAAATTATACAAATGAAAATTATTATATATTGTCTAGAGTAAAATGCTTCCACAAAAAGCTTGAAATATTGTGAAATTTGTATATGATTTTGATATAGTTTTCCTCTATGAAATATGGTGTTAAAATTAAAAATATTGGTTTAGGAAAGTTTATGGCATCATATTATATCTGAGTCATGTTTTACCACTCAAAATCATGATAATATAATTTTGACTGATTGTCATTAATTTCTCATGTGAAATAATTGGAAAGATGAGAAAAATATTTTAACATTTTGTTATGCCATTTACATATGGAAAAACTTTATTCAGTTTTCATTTTTCTAACCTAGTTCTAAGTAAAACATCTTAACAAAATGACAATTTTTGTAGCTAGAAAAGAATTTGACAAAACTATGTCAATACATATCATTTAAGCTTTATTTTGTGGCACATATTTGACCTAATAATATGTAATTATTATGATTGAATTTTGTATTGCACAAATTCAAGGATTTTGATTGCCTTTTGTTACCAATTTGTCAAGGTTTTGTTGGCCATAAAAGCCTGATTTCCATCCAGAGAGATGGGGAATGAACTGTGTTGAAAGTTGGCTTTGCTTGTAGCCATGCATCAAATGGCATTGTTGTTCACTGAACCCTGGCAGAGGTGTCTATCTGCCATGGAGATGGGAAAAGAAATAAGATGATGTTGGGGAAAATAGGCTTGTATACCTCTCCACTTTCATGGCCAAACCAACATCATACAAGGCTGAGTCCCATTGATGAATCCTGTCAGTTCACAATGAATCCTGATGATGAGCAAGTGAATCATAGCTGAATCATTAATAATGAATCAATGAAGCACTGTTGATGAATCCCAACAGCTAAGTAGTACATCCCTGCAGGTGTTGGGGTATCTCTGGCATTTCTCAGATCAATTTGGCATAAATTCAGACTGTGACATGGCTTAGGATGTATGAAGGGGGTACCCCCCTTCCTACACCAGTTGTCTAGATCCTTTGACATCAATTTGGAGTTTAAAATAACAAGATATATTTTTCTGATTTAATGCACAACAGGTTAGGATAGGAAATAAAGGATATACACTTATGGGAAGTCATCCATTACTAGTCTACTAGAATTGCAGAGGGGGCCCTTTGCACCCTCTATGCAAATCTGGTGATACAATGTGCTAATTGGCAAATATTTGCACATTAAAAACACTTGAAATTCTGGATGTATTCAAATTCACTAGTGTAAGGAATGGGATGCTGGCTTGCAGACAACAAATAATAGTGACTAAAATGTAATAATAAGCTAGGCTAGAAACAACATATGTTGGGTATTGAAACACTTGTTGACTGTTCAAGGCATGATGTCAGTAGTGTTAACAAAAATAGCAAAGACTACTCATAGTGGGCACAGAAGTTGGGTTGTTGAAACCTGTGGTGCATGTAGTGCTCAGTCTTCAGGGGCAGTGAGATCACAATGGGTAATTGGGGAAGCAGGATCATTCACTGGAGTAGCACTGCCACAATCAAGGCTGATTAGCTGAACTACTGTCCAATAAACCTGCAACTCACCTTGCTTGGGCATATATGTCTGCCATCATGAGATGGTGTCCACTAGCCAACAAACATGACAACAATTGTAACATGTTTCCATTACCCCCCTTTTTCTTGGTAAGGAACAAGCAGTTGGTCAATATGAGGCAGTCCCATACTTTACATTTATCTACTGGTTGAGAGTGGTAGTAACCTTATGAGCAGCTCTCCATCACTGTCATAGTGTGGCATATATACATTATGTGGTCACAATCACAAATCCAATCCAATCCACCATTAGCTGGCTGGAGTCAGGAGCAGTGGAATGAGTGTCCACATGTGAAACATTTCAAAGCGGGTGAGCAGTTGAAGTTGAAGAAGTCCCCCCATCTCTGCAATGGGTCATCATTCCATGAGATCAGATACTTGATGATTGTCATGTGGGAGAACTCCGTCCTCCAACCCCCCTGCCCCACTCACAGATCCATCTCAGAGACCACCTATGGTCAACAGCCATCCACCAGCAGCCACCATGCTGGAAAGAGTGGGTGCCATAGGCAATGAGATTGACACTAATGTTAATCAGCTTGTTGTGGAACATCTCCAAAAAGAATTCAGCTGTCTATCAGCAAATCAGTGGCCTGTAAAGGAGCTGTCTAGGGAGAAGGCTCACCATTGGTTGACTGTCCTTTAAGATTCTGTTCCCAGATGCCAGTCTGTGGAAAATGAAACAACTTGTGATCTGAGAGGCTCTCAGCCACTCTTCATAGGCCATACAGGGCAGAGATGCTTCATTGACTTAGGGAACCTGTGTAATACAAATGGCTTGATGTCTGCACAGAGAGATGATCAGCATCAGTAACACTGTAGTATGGAGGTTGAATTCACCACCATATTGACTGGTCTTTCTGGATGGCAATGCCAGCTGCAGATTCTTGTCACTTTGCAGGACAATGTCATGGCACTGTATTTCCAGCACCTCATGCACATGGAGAAGACAGGTGAATGCAAGCCCAAGTAAGTGTCAGGCATTCCTTCATCCCCATTGATCACCAACCTTCTTCTTGATCCCAGGTGTGTAATCCTACAGTGATTGCCCTTGCAATTGTGGTAGTCTCCCCAGCTTGGGCCCTGTGTTAGTGCAACCTTCCCTATATATCAAGAGACCAACTCTGACAGAGATGGATTCCCAACCATGTCATTCCCCTTAGCTGAGCAGAGCTGCCCAGTACATGGACCCAAGGCCATGAATGCAACCAAAGGCATATATGTCATCAATGCACACATCTTCTGTGCAGTCATACAAGTTCCACACACTGGAGTGGATAGCTTTCTGATCCCATCAAGGTTTATCTCATCACACTTGTATCATGCTCAATGAGTACACAGTTTTCAGAAAGTGGGATGCACTCATTCATTCATGATACTTCAACAATTAAGTGTGGTGTATATTTGTGGGGCTTGTTGCTAAAGAACTGGCCAGGGGCAACAAGGCTCCCCTCAGTGAGAAATGGCTCACACTGTTCTATAAGTCTTAAAGCAACATGAGTTGTGAGCGCCAGACATGACAATGAGGTACATACCACTTATACTCCACATGTCCTTTCAGAAACCCCCTTTGACACATCATTCACCATCTTGAGCAACTCAGCTACATTATCAGTGAGAACACCACTGGCTTCAAGACTTGGCATGGTTTTGTGCTTGCCCTTAAGATCATCTGTTATAGCCTCCTCTTGCAAGGAATTCATGGGCTTAACAATCTCCAAGGCTTCAGCAAACTGTTATAGATCATGAAACCTCAACCTCCCAATGGGAAAATGTCCCAAATTGGACATGGCCTGAATAGGTGACCAGCCCAAATGGGGAAATGGCCCAAAGGGTTAATGATGGGTCCCACTGAGAAAATGACCAGACTGGGGTTTGAACCCAGGACCTCCTGATAACATTCCAGGTGCTTTGACCACTGAGCTACCTGGTCCTTAGTATAGAATATTGGTTTCACAATCATGAAGACAGATTGCTTTGTCCAACAAAAACAACATTGTGTCAAGACCAGCCTGCAACTTCCTCAGAGGCATGATGTTGCCATTGCCATAGGAGTGCCTCCCCTGTTTGCCTGTGCAAAGGCAGTCCTTGATCTCCCTAGCCCAGACCTCCCCATAGGATCTATCAGGTACAATTTCATTCATGGCATCAAGGATTTGTTTGCCCCCCTCATCACTCTTATCAAAGAAGCATACAGACTTTCTTTGGTAATCCTAGAAACTCAGGACTTTTTGGATGGACAAGTGGTAACTACTTATGGGTACCTTGCATTTTACAGGGAACAGATATACATTACCCATCATGGGTATCATTTTAAAGACACAGTGAGGGCAAGTCCTCATTTACTGTACTATTGTTTAACCCCATTTATTCCCCAAGACCCATTTGACTTCATTTCACTGGATGGACAATTGAATTTTACCATTGACAAAATTTAAGCATATTTCAGAACAAAAGGCATTTTTTATGCACCATTTTCTGTCATTAATAATGTTAGTAAGGTTATTAATATTGTCAATTTGATTTTGAAACAAAATATGTTGACAGCACATATTTTATTTTGTCATAATATTGTTACCATAACTTGACAGCCCCCAAAACACTGACATTATGATGGAAAAGGAAATCAATATTCTTAACATCTTGTGCTTTAAAATTGTGTCAACAATATTTAATCTCCTTATTAACATTTCACATGATGAAAAATAGTAGATTAATAATGCCTTTTATGAGGAAATATGCCTAAATTTTGTCAAAGGTAAAAGGCAGTTTTCAATCCAGTGCTGTTGACAACAGTGACAGTGAGCACAATGTGTCAATATATGTTGAAGGTCCTGGGATGATGGTCCCAGGGATGAATTACATAATTTGAAAATGGTGTGGGATTTGGGATACTGAAAATCCGGCACCAGATCTCACTTAGCTTAGCCAAAATAAATCAAAAATCAAAAATGAAGCTACCCACTCCTGCTTTCCATACAGGCTCCTCATTGTTAGCAGCATCTGTCTCAGCAGCATGAGCCTTACCTGGCTTATGCTCCTTGGCTTCATGCTCCTTGTGCAACAAAACCTCACCCTCAGTGGCAATTCTTCATTGCCAGGAAATGATCAGAAAATGAGCATGAGTAGTCAGGCTCAGAATTACCAGGAAATTCAGAGTCTTCTGATAATGCTCTCACCAATGGTAAAGGGTGTTGAGTGTGGGCTTTGTACTTTGATTTGTTTGCTCCTCAGCAACCATTTACCAGATGAGAGGTGGGGAGAAGGGGAAGGGGGGATAATGTTCATGAAGGACAGAGTTAGCTGTCATGGTGTTAATTTATTTATGCTATGTGGTGACTTGTTCTTGGCAGCATGACAGTAGCTCTGTACATTAAAAGCAATGTTATGAATTTGTTCTAATGTGTGCAGAACTGTTCTTCCTGAGCCTGATTTTCTCAGTGGTGGTGCAGTCCACATCCTCAACAGAATACCTCCTTCCATGCTTGCCACAGTGACATGATATCAGAGTACTCACCCAGATTTTTGGTGCATATCAGTATTCTCTGACCTGCCTCACTTTTTTCAAGCTTACACACTCATACTCACTCATGTTTCACTGGATGGAAATTTGCTTTTTCCATTGACAAAATTTGGGCATATCTTATAACAAAAGGTATTTTTTATCCACCAATTTTCATTATGCAAAATGTTAACAAGGGTGCTAAATTTTGGAAACTTGATTTCAGAGCACAATATGTAGACAATATGATTTTCCTTGTCCATCATATTGGCAGAGTATTATGGAGATTATTATTATGTCTCTTGTTAATATGTTTCACATGGCAATACATTGACAAAATGCAAACAGCATATTTTGTGTCAATTGAAAGTGGCATGACAAAATGATAACATAAATTTGCAACTTGCATAAATATCTCACACAAAAATATTATGGCCAATGGTTTAGCTTATGTCATGGCTATTGTGGATTGTAGCATCTTGGTAATAACTTGAACAAGTCATAAGATATTATTGCCTTTTTTATTGTGTGATAATTTAAATTCTTGTTATCATTTTTTCACAAGAGAGTGGTATGACAAATTATTGTCAAAATAATCATAATTTTCCATGCATTTTTCAACCAATGGTTTGCTAGACAATATATAAAAATGATTCACATGTTTTTCAACCAACAGTTGGCTAGACAATATATAATATGTTTCACAAGGGTGCAGGCATGTGGGTGGTTGGCTATGGCTATGGGATCTGTACTTGACTTGGTACTACTTTTACAGCTTACTTTGTCCATGGTGTGTGTCAGGTTATGGTCATCTCTGGTGCATTCAGCAGTGTTGTGTGTGTTGATGAGGTTGATCTAAGGTATACTGAAGAATTTTGGGCCATGGAGAACTTTCTCTGCTGCTGCTACATGACAGTATGCACTGGCAATACCTGTGTGGTTGAATAAGGGTGATCACCATGCATACAAGCTCTGCATGCCTGAGGTCCTCTCACACATTCATCTCAATGATGTTGTGTCTGCCTTGTCTATGAGTAGTGATGCCCTGGTCCAGTCCTGAACTGAGGTTTGGACCTGAACCTTTGAGAACTGGACCAAAGTCTGGTCCTAAGATTGCCAGTGAACCAGAACTGGACCAAATGTCCAGTTCCAGGTTCATGTAGGGCCTCTAAAATGTGAACATGTTCAAACAGTTTGGAGATGGGGAGTCTGTACATGACTTTTAAAGTTTCAATGGCCACACTTTCATTGTTTGTTTCAGCCTGAGGTATACTATTGTACAGAGTTTAACAGGTCACTAATCACTACTACAACAGGGCCCAGTGCTGCTGTTCACACCCAACATGCCATGGCCATTGCTGTGATTGTCAACACCTCTGTGTTGTTACTGCTGTTATGAGGGTCACTTGGAGGGTCATTGTCATTGTGGTCAGGGCTTTCATCATTGTGGTGTTCATCTTGTCATTTTTGTTGCCCTGTGGTCACTCTGAGTTGTTGCCATTGTCATTAGTACATCATCATGATAATTGCCAAGGTTGGGGTAGTGGCCAAGGTCAGGTAGTGGTTGGGTTGGGGTAGTGGTTGGGTTGGGGTGGGGGGGGTAGTGGTTGGGGGGGGGGGGGGGGGGGGGGGGTAGTGGTTGGGTTGGGGTAGTGGTTGGGTTGGGGTATAGTGGGTTGGGGTTGGGGGGTAGTGGTTGGGTTGGGGTAGTGGTTGGGTTGGGGTAGTGGTTGGGTTAAGGTAGTGGTCAGGGTTGGGTTAGTGGTCGAGGTTGGGGCAGTAGTCAAAGTCAGGGCCATGTGGGTAGCACCATTGTGATTGTGCACAATGAGAGGGGACTCACCCAAGCAAAGTGAGATAGGTATAGATGGATGCCATGATGGATTACTAAGGTACTGGATTGGCCTGCAAAAAGTGCACAAGTGGGGAATCAAACACCAAGCTTCCCAGATAGGAAACAAAAAATGACAAGACTTAGCCAATTCACTGTACTGGCTACCTTGAATTGCATTACTGTGCTATATGAGTAGTTTCTTCAAGCTCAGTTGTGCATGCTCTTTAGCTTTGAGCTCCAAGTCTACTCTCCCTTCTCTGCCACTTTCCTTTGCTGCTGTCATTCCATCCCCTTGCATGCTTGCCAGCCACTGGCATCACAACCCATCTCTATCCCAACTGGCTTGCTGCCACCATCCCACCCCTTCACAGCCACAGGCACTGCATCTTTCTCATCCCCACTGCCATCATTGTCTGCCACTCCATCCCACCTTGCTCTTGTCATTTCACCTTGCCACCTCACCAACAAGCTCACCTCCTCCTCTGCTGCCATTCAGCCAGGCCACAGCACATTGAATGCAGGGGCTTGGGAGCAGAATGTTGTATATAACTAGTTTTATTTCTTGCTGTAGGTTTTAAAAATAAATCATCCAGTTCATGGTTCATACCTGTCTGAACCTGAACTGGACCTTTCAAACATGTTAGCCCAAGTCCAGTTCACAATTCATTGAAATCAATGAACCAGACCCAAGATCCAGTCCAGGGTTCACAAAATATCTGAAAGAACCAGACCAAACCAGACCACAGCATTACTAATGGCAACAAGAAGGGTAAAGTGCTGTCCTGTTGCAGTTGTTGCACACCACTGAGCTGCTCACAGACAAGGTAGACATAACATCATTGAGATGAATGTGCAAGAGGACCTCAGGCATGCAGAGCTTGTATGCATGGTGATCACCCTTATTCAACCACACAGGTATTGCCAGTGCATACTGTCATGTAGCAGCAGCAGAGAAAGTTCTCCATGGCCCAAAATTCTTCAGTATACCTTAGATCAACCTCATCAACACACACAACACTGCTGAATGCACCAGAGATGACCACAACCTGACACACACCATGGACAAAGTAAGCTGTAAAAGTAGTACCAAGTCAAGTACAGATCCCATAGCCATAGCCAACCACCCACATGCCTGCACCCTTGTGAAACATATTATATATTGTCTAGCCAACTGTTGGTTGAAAAACATGTGAATCATTTTTATATATTGTCTAGCAAACCACTGGTTGAAAAATGCATGGAAAATTATGATTTTTTGACAATAATTTGTCATACCACTCTCTTGTGAAAAAATGATAACAAGAATTTAAATTATCACACAATAAAAAAGGCAATAATATCTTATGACTTGTTCAAGTTATTACCAAGATGCTACAATCCACAATAGCCATGACATAAGCTAAACCATTGGCCATAATATTTTTGTGTGAGATATTTATGCAAGTTGCAAATTTATGTTATCATTTTGTCATGCCACTTTCAATTGACACAAAATATGCTGTTTGCATTTTGTCAATGTATTGCCATGTGAAACATATTAACAAGAGACATAATAATAATCTCCATAATACTCTGCCAATATGATGGACAAGGAAAA